ACTATATCCTGAATGGACTGGCTCTTCTGGACTAGACTCTCACAGATCACATATTGTGACATATGATGCCACTGGTCCTACTGATAGAACTGATGTTGGACTCTCAACTCATTTTGATAACGCTGAAGTAACTCTCAATGTGTCACTGGGTAAAGAGTACACTGATGGGGAATTATACTTTGGAGAAATGAAAGGAGTAAGTACAAGTACATGCACACACACACTCAGGGTTTCCCACAAAGCATGTTTCATGAGCTGACAAGCACTGCAATACAGTACATGGCATTTGGAGCAACTTTCAAATTCATAAACAACTGATTTAATTGAAATCAGCTCAAACTTTCTACACATGAGAACATGTACATGTATGTGTATGAGAAAAAAATTATAAAAAATGGAAAATTTTTTTCTAGTCATTTTTAATGAAATTAGGCTAATGACCAAAGGCCTTTGGTTGTTGGTCCATATTTTGAGCAACTTTAAAATTTTGTTAAAAATCCAAATTTTATCAGAATCAGTTCTAACTTTCTACACAACATGAAAACATGCACATGTATCAGAAAACAATATTAAAATGAAAATTTCTCTTCTAGCCATTTTTGACAAAATAGGGCCAGCGGTCATTGGTCCAATATTGGAGCAACTTTTAAAATTCATAAAAATCTGATTTTGATTGAAATTAGCTCAAACTTTCTACACAACATGAGAACATGTATATGTATCTGGATAAATTATAAAGATGGAGAATTCTCTCCTCATCATTTTTGACAAAATTAGGCCAGCTATCAAAGGCTATTATGGCCTTTTGTTGTTGATCCAATTTTTGAGCACCTTAAGAAATTTGTAAAATAATCTATATTTGGTAGGACTCATCTCAAATTTTTTACACAACATAGAAACAGGTTATGTGTATCAGAAAAATTATAAAAATGAGGAGTTCTCTATTTGTGATTTTTTTCAAAATGCCCTTTTGCCTAACTTTTGAGCAACTTCTTTTTGTCTCGTAGCTCAAGATTCAATTTTATTTTATACCAATGTAGTTTATCATAGGCAAGATACATGTACATTGTACCTTGCATAATTTAGGCAGTAACTTTTGCCTATAATTGTTATTCTAAAGTAACCTACACTGCAATTGGTTTACCATATAGTGTGGTCTTCACAAATTGGCATGCAATTGTGAAATAAAAGCATAACAAAATATTTAAAATGTGGTGCTAAAATTGCAAATCTGTCTAAGTCAATCTGGCAAAAATTTATGAGACTTTTGCCCTACGAATGCAAAAAACTATTTTATTATTCTTTTCATTATTCCAGGTTGTTGTTTCTAATCCTCGTCTCTATCCTTATTATCACAAGATTGGTAGAGGAGTCATTCACAGAGGACAGCATATGCATGGTGCTATGGACATCACTGATGGCACAAGGTACAACATTATTGTTTGGATGAGATCGTCTTCTGTGCGTAACAAACTTTGTCCACGTTGTGATCAGTCACCAACTCTTATACCATTTGAAGGGTATGGTGATGGGTTTACAAAACAATTGATGTAACTATTTTAAATAATTTTTTGTTATCATATTTATTTTATTTTATTTTATTTTATTTTATTCATCATGTGTCAAATATTTTAATCATTATTAGTATGGTTCTGTGCCTTAGTTAAAACTGTAGTTGAAAGTTTAAAAAATTGTACCACATAGCCATACTTTTAAAGCAACTGAACTTTCACAAATTTACCAAAATACAACTACATACCATAGGGCACCTTTTTTCGAGGGCTGTAAATTTTACAAAATTGCCTAAAAATCTATTTTGTGGATTTAATTTTTGCAAATTTATGCATTTGATTTTCCCAAAAATGATTTTCACAAATCTTTAAGAAATTGCAAAATCCACAAAAATTTACAGCCCTCAAAAAAAGGCACCCTACTATACCCTATAC